ATACTAACATTCTTTTATTGCTCAGTTATATATCACCGGATATTGCTAATTAACGGATGAGCTTGATATCAATAATCTTTGTCAGTATTTTTTTTAATTGCTTCTTCAATCATAATAAAGTTCTACAGTTTTTTATCCCTGTTCAGAATCGGACAAGCTAAAACTGCAATCGGACAAGTAATATATGTTGACAACTTGTTCGATGGAAAAGAAGTCCATGTATATCAGTCTGTTTCATTTCGTGAGAAATTTTATGCAAACCGTGGTACATATCAATTCATTGAAATCTATCAGCCACATAAGAATTTCTTTTCTCAGATTTGGCTTTCTAAACTTTTAGAAAAAAAAATGACTTTTTATTAGATTTGAATGATGTTTGTCACAGAAACGAAATTTGAAAGAGACAGATCTAGAAAAATAAAATGTTTGCACATTTAAGATATTTATTTATTTATGACGAATTAAAACTAAGTTTTAGTATGCATTTTTCTTTCATGAATAGATTATTTTTTTTTAATTATTTTTGATTCAGAATATGTCATTTTTTGGTTGAAATCTATCCATACTTACTGCGACGATGACACCCCCGTTGTTACCATAGCGACTCATTCTGATGAAGTGCAAGATATGGTACCTGTTTATGATAAGACCTTATGTAATAAAATAACCTAAAAACAATGCTTTTGTTTAAGTTAAACATTAGCCCATATCAAATTTGTTTTCTTCTCATAATTAGTAATCAATGTGTTAACATAGTCATTTGATCTTAAGTTATTGTATTAATATCATAAAGTTGCTTGTAAAGGGAATAATTAACTGAGTGGAGATATATCTTTTTTCCAAGGTTAACAGATCAATTTATGATGATTTGCTGGAGCTCCTGAAGAATGAGCCTGATCTGAAGAAACATCTTGACCGCACGCGCTGCTTTCACATTGGGTTTCCTAAGGATGATGAAGAACCTTTGGTTAAACTTACTGATGTAGTAGAATGCATCACCTCTATCGCCTCAGAAGATCGTTGGAAAGATGAAATACCAAAGGATTGGGCATATTGCGAAGTAGTCTTAAGACAAAATAAGCAAAATGAAAGAAAAAATCTTTCACTAGCAGAGTTTAAAAAGCAAGTTTCGATTAAAAAGAAAGGAGAAGAGATGGAGACATTTGATGTGCTAAAATTCTATCATGACATTGGTACAATTTTGTATTTCAACGAGGATTGTTTACAAAAAAGCATCATAACAGATGTGCAATGGTTTGTAGACTGTTTCAAGTATATAATAACAGACCCAAAGCATGCCAGGGATCTTGTTGAAAATGACAACGACTGGAAACACTTTTTTGAAAGTGGTTATCTATCTAAGGAACTATTGAAGGGGATTTGGAAGAAGAAAAGAATGGACGCAAGAAAATGCAACTCTACATTAAAATACATGCAACGACTTGGTTTGCTTGCTGAAGGTCAAAACGCGCACTATGTCCCTTGCATGAACAAATTAGACTTTGAAAAGAATCTGAAAGATTATATCACAAAATTGGAACAGAAAACCTCTGTTTTAGTTTTCAATTTCCGGTTCCTGCCATATTTCTTTTATTTTCGTCTCATTGTAGCCTGTATAGTCAGCACAAAGTGGACTATTATTGAAGACAATGGACAGAAGTGTTTGTTTAAAAACATCGCTTTATTTTTGTTTGAAGAGCACATGATAGGTGTAGCTGTCACTACCTCAACAATACAGGTTCAGATATATAAACAAGGAAATAACAAGCTCAATTCAGAGATTACAATGAATATTAAACAAACGATAGAAGATGTCCTGGAGAAATTGACGAAAAACTTTCATAAGAAAACTTTGTTTGATATCGGCTATCAATGTTCAAAGCAAGACATACTTGAGGAAAATGTACTGTGCTTTATTCTGGAAAAAGATTTGGTTGGTAGAGGCGAATTCGGTTGTCCCAATCATGGGCTCAAGAATCATCACGTAATCAAAGAAAATGATCTGCTTCGCTTCTGGAGATATGGTATGGATTCCGAAAATTAGTTCAGAATGTTTTCATTAGACCTATAATTTTACGCAACAAATATCTATTGAAATATATATATATATATTTGTCTGTTAATAATTCCTTTGAAATACAACTTATATTTACCTGAAATTTTTAAGGTAAATAATTTGTATTAAGTTGAAAAAAAAATTATTGAAGATGACATTAATTTATTTGTCCTTTTCATTTATACATTGTAACACTCAGAACCAGCGTTAAACGTTATATAAATGAAACGGTCAATTGTAGGGGACACTTAAGTACACTGAAGGAAGTGGAAATACGAACAGTAGCCTTGGGTAGGCCCACGTTCAAGATAGCGCTATTCTTCTTGCGCAATCACCACGTGCACGTTATTTAGACTCAGACCACTAGTCAAATGGTGGGCAGTCCTAATATCCCCCCCAACCGGACAATACTAATAAAGCAAATGATTTGCGAGCTCTTCGACTTTCACATTTCACACGCGCCTGTGCGCGTCATATGGCTAGTTTCGGTCCCGTGTGTTTTCACAAGAACTCGCAAACCATCAAATTAAGCAATTTGACTGGCCTTCGTATTCATGTAAGTCCACATTTGCCCATACTCGAATACCTGCTGGACGACTAAGACGCTGGTGGAAAGGGGTTCAGAATACTATTTCTTATTTCGACAAACTAAAGGCTACCTTGTTTAAAACGAAAAAGATAATGCATGCACTGATGAACTCCTTGCACAGGAGAATCAGAGCTGTAACAGCCCAGGAGGCATACTATATACTAAGGAGTCAGTGGATTTCATTTTTGAGGGTACCAACAAATGTACCTCAATTACTCGTGAATTGTCGATCAAATACCCAATTAAACCTTGGTAACTTATTGATCATGTTGATTTATGATATTTTGAGAAGTTAAATGACAATATTGGAAGAAATATTTGTATAAATGCCTTTTCTTTTAAATGATACCTAGCTTTTTTTTTCACTACATTATATATTTGTCTTATAAAAATGGTATTTCTTTTTTTTCCCTCAAACTTGAATACCCGGTGAATTCCTTACTTATTAAAAAGAAAGTTAATGTTGCTCTCATCTTGACCTGACAATACGATTTTGTAAAATTAAAACAAGGGGCCCATGGTCCACATCGCTCACCTGAGCACATTGACTAGGCAAAAGCACAAATCAGTTCAGTATTGAAAAGATTTTTTTTTTGGGGGGGGGGGGGGCTTGAATTTTAAACTACCTTCCATGTCAATTTAACAAATGGCTTTGTTGTACTTTAAAAGCTTTTTGAAAAATTTCCATATATTCCTTTGTAAAAATTTGATCCCCCATTGTGGCTCCTCCCTATCCCATGGGTCATCATTTGAACAAACTTGAATCTACACTATCTGAGGATGCTTCCATATCAATATAACTAAACATAGTTTTTCTGTTCTTGAGAAGAAAATATTTTTTCAAAATGTTCTTATGTAAAACTTTCAATCCCCCATTGGGTCCCACCCTACCCCCCGCAAAGACGGATCCAGGACCAGCGCGCCGGGCAAGCTCCCCTGTTTGAATTTTTTTTATGTAGAACTTACATGTCCATTATCCTAAAAACAAGGAAAAACATCTCTTCTTTGTACGAATTTGTCAGCTTCCCAGACCCCCACCAAGGCCTTGGTCTAGACCCACTGGGGGCTTCAATGCAGCCCCAGACCCACTGCCTCTACTCCCCCCCGTTACGAAATTCCTGGATCCGCCACTGCCCCGGGGGTCATCATTTGAACAAAATTGAATTTACACTACCTGAAGATGCTTCCATATCAAAATGACTTATCATGACTTTGCAGTTCTTCAGAAGAAGATATTTTCCTATATATTTCTATTTAAGACTTTGATCCTCCATTGTGGCCCCACCCTACCCCCGGGGGTCATGATTTGAACAAAATAGAATCTACACTACCTGAGGATTCTTCCACATAAATATGACTAAACAGGGCTTTGCTGTTCCTGAGAAGATTTTTTTTAAGGATTTTTCCTTTATATTTCAATGTAAAACTTTGGTAGTCCATTGTGGCCCCGCCCTACCCCCGGGGGTACTGATTTGAACAAACTTGAATCTACACTACCTGACGATGCTTCCATATAAATATGACTCATCATGGCTTTGCTGTTCTTGAGAAGAAGATTTTTAAAGATTTTTCCTATATATTTCTAAGTAAATCTTTGATCCTCCATTGTGGCCCCGCCCTACCCCCGGGGGTCATGATTTGAACAAACTTGAATCTACACTACCTGAGGATGCTTCCATATAAATATGACTCATCATGGCTTTGCTGTTCTTGAGAAGAAGATTTTTAAAGGTTTTTCCTATATATTTCTATGTAAAACTTTGATCCTCCATTGTGGCCCCGCCCTACCCCCGGGTGTCATGGTTTGAACAAACTTGAATCTACACTATCTGAGGATGCTTCCACATGTGTTTCATCTTTCCTGGTGCTGTGGTTCTTGAGAAAAAGATTTTTAAAAGATGCTATTTATTTTTCACCAATTATCTACTATCTCCCCTTGAAAGAGGGCGCGACCCTTCATTTGAACAAACTTGAATTCTCTTCACCCATGGATGCTTTGTGGCAAGTTTGGTTGAAATTGGCCCAGTGGTTCTGGAGAAGAAGATGAAAATGTAAAAGTTTACAACAACGACGACGACGACGACAACGCCAAGACAGACAACGGACAAATTTCGATCAGAAAAGCTCACTTGAGCCTTCGGCTCAGGTGAGCTAAAAAATACAATTTTAAAAAATATTCAGTTTCTGAGTGTTTAAAATACTTTTTCTTTTTGGGTTAGATAAATTTTAATTAATTTTCTTGAAGTATCTAATTTTCTTCAAGTATTTAACTTCAGTTTGATATTTCGCCGAAATATGGCTGAAATATTGTCGACTCGGCGTTAAACAATAATAATCAATCAATCAATCAATTTGATGTTTAAGAAAAACAAGAGGAAATCACAGGAGCGAAAAATATCCAAGAAAAACAACAGCAAAGAAAGGAAGACTTCTCGGGTAATGTTTAGACAGAAAGATTTATAGAGATTTTACACAGTACCGAAAAGTTTATTTATGAAGAACTAATAAACTTATTTTAAATTTAGCAGGATCAAAATTCAGAAAGCCAAAGGACAACTCCCTTCTTTCCACAGAATTGAAAACTTTTTTCTCCAGAGGTTGGCAGGATAGTGTGGGCCATTTACTTTGTTGTGATTTGACAGGAACAGCATTCAGAGTCGGTGATTGGTATCTTTTGACGGCCTTTCACATAATTGAAAGCACATTGGGTAATTATTTGTATATAAATATGGACAAAATATTCGATGCACTTTATCAACAAGAAGAATATCATTATTAAGAAGGGCTCCGTAAGTAATGCCCAGAGATCTTAAATTTAATTTGTTTCCTTTTTATTGCATAAAGGTGCGTGCTTGAAAATGATAATAGAAAATGCCCAGTGTGACCCAAATCGTGGAAACAACTATCTGTATCTATTGCAAGTTTTGGAAGTGAAAGGGTCTGGATCAGGGGTTGAGATGATGATAGAGAATGGAATTAAAGAGTGGATTACAAAATGTAAAGATAATCTCAGGATAAGCAATTTATTGGAAGCCATGAGAGTCACGGGATTCTCCGTAGCAAGAGGTAATTTTAAGTCATGACAGTTGTTTGTGTAACAGTTGATATTTTTCTTACCTTCTTTGAACTTATTTTGTAGAAAACATATTTAAAATTATGGGTGAGAATCCTATGCAAGTTGTCTTTGGTCGCATGAAAGAACACGAAGAGGGTATAAAATATCCCGTGAAATTTGACATTCCGTTCTACAGCAAAACTGAGGACATTGCTATACTGGAAGTTGATCCGACAAATTTACCCCGTTTACCAATTGCATTTGCATTAGAAAGATCAATTATTGCGCCAGAGTCTATTCACATTGTTGGTTACCCAGCCTCACACGGAAGGAAACAAATATTTGACCCAAAGTGCCCTTTGATATTGGAAATGGAAGCTCGAACAACACTTGAGCAATGGAAAGTAATGTATCCCTGGGAGGATTTCCAAAATTTCAGCAGGGCCTGTGATTCTGCATTTTCCGGGAAAGAAAAAGTGCTGTTTCACTGTTCTGAATCTACGGCTCACGGTGCCTCGGGTAGTCCTGGACTGATACTTTCAGACGGTGACAAACCAAAAGTGTATCTCATGCTACAGGAAGGATTTCCGTCATTTATGTACGGTAATAATTGTCAGGTAGATATTAAGACTGTTCCAAAAGAACTTCTAATTGAAAGTGGAATTAGCATGTCCAGAGTTTACTCACTACTCAGCAACACGCCATACTTAGTAATCCTGCGAAATGCGATTTTCCATACTTGAACATTTTGTATAATGATGTGATGTGGTGCTAGCGTCGAAGTGTTTTTTAAAAAAAAGAGTGGAAAGCTCAAAATGGACAACAAACTAAAGTACATAGGTGCGTGAACTTCTGAGGAAAAAAATGTTAGAATTTTTGAGATTTTACCTCATTTTAGCGATATTCGTTTAATAACAAGAAGATAAAATTTATGTGCTGTTACTTTCAAATACAATATGTAATACTTCAAATATATATGTCCAATTCTATATTCTGTTTTATTTGTTGGTTTTACTTAGAGTCAAGATAACAGACGTAAATATGTTCTTGTTTAATTCCATTTTTTATCTCCATTTTGTCTTACCTTTAAAACAGCATATTTAAATTTTTTTCATGAAAATGTATTCTATAAGATTTTTTCATAAAAATAAAATTTAAGTAAACCTTTTCAGGAAGAAAACAGTTAAGTGGAAAGATATATTTCTCTGTCCATCAAAACTAATCATCCTCACGCAATGTTTTTAATCACATATTTTGAGCGTCATATAACTTTATCTATTAATCTATGACTTTTTAAGCTTTGCGTTTGCATTTTGGACAAATTCTTACATACAGATTGTACAAGTTTCTGTTAAAATCTCAATATTATTTATCAAACCTTTCCTTTCTTATTAGCAGTTTGTTGTAATGGATTTTGTACAAATATTGTGAATGAGATGATTTTAATTTCTGTTTATACTTCACTGAATTAAATGTAGATTTCCATATTCTAAGTATGAAAATAATGTACGTGTGTCACTGCAAATGGTGCAAGAGTGTTAAAACACATTTTGTGCAAATTTTCTCATTCGAGCGCTGTAATATGTTTAGGGCATCTACGTGTAGTATTACTCATGATCGTCCCACTGTTTTCCAGAATACTAGTAAAACTTTTTTTTATGATTTTTTGTCATGGCAGCAGAAATTAAGCTAAATAGTCTGTGTCATTTGATGTTTGAGATTATATAAATGAGTCTGATTTTGTTACAATCATCGATGTCCAATGGTATTTCTTCCTAGCATCTCAAAATGTCAAGAAATTGTACCTATTTTGAGATTGTTAATTGATTTGTCTACAGGTTATAATCTAAATGTTATTGTGGTTATATAATCATCACAATAAACGAAAAGAAAATACAAATATGTCTTAAATTCTGTGCAAATTATATTTTTACACCATGCATTTTAAAGTTTTCGAAAGATGTTAGTTTTTCCTAAAATATAGGATAATCGCTAATTATTGCAAGGTCTAGCATCTAGTTTATAGACAAGAGACCTTGAGGCATGATTATTACTGAGAATCAGACTATCATCAACTCAGAACCGGAACTGGAACTCTGCATTCCTGTGTCATGGATCTGGACTTCATTAGGTGTGTCCAATTGATGCTGCTTATATAGGAGAAAAACAATTTCTAAAGATATAAACCATTTAAAGTAAATCATCAACATAGCAAAACAACGGACTAATTCAGATCACAAATTACAAGTGTAGGTTAAGGGGATATCGCTTACTACCATCATGCACACAGGTGCTTACTAATTTTCCAGGCATAAATAAGAAGGTACACAGTACAGTTTCAATAAAGCCCGACTAATCCACATCTCTAAGATTTTTGATACCGTGGAATTCCTCAAGAATTTTACTGGAGGATAACCGGTTGTTATCATCAAGTTAAACAGTAACAGTGTGTCTCCTAGATGTTCTTGTTATGATATCAATGGTTATTCTCAATGTCTTTCTGCAGTAGTCATTATCAGAGCGATTTAAATTTACCCCGGAAATAATGTCTTTTACTTCATGTTGTTGATTCTATACTTCTGCATAAACAATTTTAAGCTGACATTTATTTCTTTCTCTTGCATTTATTCAATATAATTTCGGTAAAAGTAAACTTTTTTAAAAAAGGTTTTGCTCTGGAATTTGAAGTATTTTAGCTTGACTGCAGATCGGAAATCGGTGTTCTGCAGAAAAAAATATATTAGTAAGTGTGGCCCTGCCGCTTTTTAAAAAGAACTGTCAATTTACGATTTATTAGTTCACCTGAGCCGAAATCTAAAGTGAGCTTCTCGGATCAAATTTTGTAAGATGGTCGTTTGTTCGTCTGTCTTTCGGTCTGTAAACTTTTCACGTTTTCCACTTCTTCAGAACCACTCGGCTACTTCAAATCAAACTTATAGTCTGGTCCTGATTTTTAAAAAGAAGGCTAGAAATACGTTTTAAGGGCAAATAATTATTATTTGGTCCAGCATAGGTTTTTAACCTATTTCGAGTATGCTGAATCCGAAAAAATATGCTGGCCTTCATGAAAATGGCGTTAGAAAGGTCAAAATGGCGATTCAAAATGGCGGACATCCAATTTTTCTAATTTTCTCTTAATATCTTTCAAATAGGAGAAAGAATTCTGAATATCTCACTGAGTGTAATGTAACTTTAAAAATGATAAAAGAATGCTAACATTATTACTTTAATTCAGATAATTTAGTCGTTTCTACACTTAATTCGAATTTTCTCTTATTTATTTGTCTATTGTTTCTATATTCTGCTTTGTTCAGAATTTTACATTTGCAAATATCCATACACTGCAGATTGGTATTTTTCCTCTGCATCTCACTATTCTACAACTGAATGATGGTGCAGGTGTAATTTATAAGTCAAAATTGCGATTCAAAATGGTGGATATCCATTTTTTCTAATTATTTCTAAATGTCGTTCAAATAAGAGAATGGATGTGTTAATATCTTATTGAGCGTAATGCAATTATGAAAATGATAATAGAACACTAATGATTCATAGCTCCGACTTTTCTCCCGAAGCCCCGCCCACCTTAGTTACTGTAACTAAGTCCCACATGATGGCGATACCGGCTTCATCATCCTCGGTGGCGACCGACAGTTTAAAGTCGATTCCGGACGATTTCTGTGTGAAATACCTACCCAATAGTTCAAAATTATCTGAAAAAGTTTTACAAAAGGGTTTGAATTACTTTACCCAAGGATATATCCATAATATTAAGATTTTCAGTTTGGATAACTCCGTACAAGTTGCAGCACGATGCTGGAGGTGCATGCGAAAAAATCAATCGCCGCACCAACTTAGTTTGGAAATAAAGAATAGTTCGATAACCGAGTCTCATTGCTCCTGTAAAATTGGGTATGTGTATAAATCATCCAAATCTTTGCGTATTTTTCAAGAAAATCTTGATAAATCAGGGTTTATATAGGTTAGGCCTAGGCACCTAGAATGTAAACATTTGTGACCTAATTAATTTTCACGGTAGATATGCAAACGTGATATAAATAAACGCTTGGCTCAGGATTTTTTTTTAAATATATAGGGCCTAATGAATGAATTCAGAGAAAATACACATAAATATTATTGGCCAACTTCTCTATTTACTAGGCCAAACCGAATTCCTTTCAAGTTGGCATCTTTTTTTTTTTTTTTTTTTTTTGGGGGGGGGGGGGATAGGCCTAGGCCTAAATAATTTGAAAATCCTCAGGTATGCATACATGTACATTAGAAATAATGCTGGTCAATTTTCCTTACAGCTTAAATGGCCACTGTTCCCATGTAGTTGGGCTAATAAAAAGTCTGCAAGGGTTCAAACTCCATAATTTTTCAAATGTACCTGAACAACAAAGTTGTACAAGCATCCCACAGCAGTGGCATGTGCCCAGGGGGTCAAAGATCAAGCCTGTCCCTATAAATCATGTGGTGGTAGCAAGACCAACTGAATCAAGAAAAAGGAAACCTGTGACATGCCAGTTAGACTTAAATCAAGAGTATGTGAAAAAGACAAAGACTTTCCTCTTTTAGAAATATAACCATTGTATTTTTAATAATACAATATTCTTCATGGCTACAATTAATTGTCTATAAATATGAGATCAGATTTTAAAACAGTCTTAATCATAAGATAAAAATTATCCACTTGACAAAATCTTAATTCATACATCATATTTTAATATTCTACCCAAAGTGTCCAAAAATGACATAATGCAGCTGAGTTCATTAAAAGGAACCCCTCTGGAATACACAGTATCAGCAGAGCATCCATTAGTAAACACTCCCCTTGGTGATGTGCAGATAGGCTCAATATTGCCATATCAGGTACATGTTCACAATAACCACAATAAATATTTATTTTAAAAATATAAATGCAGTTGGGGAACTGCCTATAGTTTAAAAATACAGTACATGTATATATAAATTATCCACTGAACAATGCTAAATGCAAAAATCAATGATATGGGTCACAACTAAAATGAATAAAGTAGACTATTTACTATGTTTATTGTCTGTTACAAACACATCATGGAATAATGTCAAGTGACAACATACAGACCAAATTTTGTTAATATTTTTAAATAATGATGTTGGAATGCGCACAGACAGTATCTTGTAGGTTTTAACTTTAGCAATAAGTCTTTCAATGTGCACACGATGCTTTGCAATTTTTTCAGTAAGGATGGTATCTGAAACTGACATCTGAGATGTTGATGAAGCCATTGGTGGAATATTCAGCAGCAAATTAAGTTTACATAATTCTTCCTTAATAGTAAAACCTTTATCAGCCATAATAGCATCACCATCTTTAACATAACCCTTCAACTTTAGTGTTTCAAGAACATCATAAAACCCAGACTGTTCACATATTTGTTTATCTGAAATACATCCTGTAAACAATTCGGATGCAAAAATCACTGAACCATTTGGATCACAACCAATTAATGCCTTTAAAGTAGTACTAGACTTATAATCACTATAAAGCTGACTTTGCAAACCAAGTGCACATGGTGCTTATGTTCTAAATTCAGTCTCATCAATTATTATTAAAGTTGTGGGGTAATCATGTTTAAAATCTTTTGGCATGTTATTAATAATAATATCACGATGTGGCCAAATACAAAGTTGCCCTAACTTTAAGTACATAAGTGAAATCCAAGTATTGAATACAATTCCTGATGACTGTAGTGAAAGTTTAAACCTTACTGATATATCTTTAAGACCAAAGTTATGTCTTAGTCTACATAAAGTTAAAAACAGTCCATCTTGCAGTGACAATTTCCTAATGTCTTTGCGACCCTTTTCATAATTTATCGAGGATCCATCAGATACCAAAAATGCCAGAAGACTAGCAAATCTAATGTACACAATACCAGTGTAATATTTAAATACATTTTTCAACTTTCCCTCTCTCCTTAATACTTCATCAACTCCAAATGTTGGCTTCTGATTTTCAGATTTCTGTTGATCTTTAAGCTCTTTTATTTCTGTTTCCAGTTTGCAGATGGTGTCTTTATACTGCTTCTCTTTTTCTCTTAACATGTGTAGTTCAGCAGCCATTGCAAACATATCAATCCCAGAAACCCCTAGAAAAGAAATTAATATATTTGTACTTCAATTGCTGATACTGTGAAATATTTTTCAGACAAAAAATATTAAGGAAGTTGAGCCAGCAATGTCAAATGGTTGTGGCAATACAGATGTGTTTCACCAAGCCCCTGTTCCTTTGCCACTGCAGTTTACAGATTTAAATGAAGATTGAAAAGAATGTGAACCTAATGAAATTGAAATCAATACTCGCGAACAAAGCGAGTCTGCACTGTGGTATAATGAAAGAAAAAAGCGACTAACTGCTTCTAATTTTGGCAAAATCTTACAAAGAAAATCAACACCTAATGACAAATTTTTAAAAAGCTTGTTTAGTTTAAAAAAGATTACAGCCCCCTCTTTGGATTATGGCAAAATTCACGAAAAAGATGCGAAGTCCAGTTACTTAAAAGACTACCCGTCTAGACATATTCATTCATGCGGCCTTGTTATAAACAAGGAGTTTGCTTTCTTAGGGGCAAGTCCAGATGGTAAGGTTTGTGACAATGGCCAATGTGGCCTTTTGGAAATTAAGTGTCCTTACTCTGCTAGAAACATGACAATCACAGAAGCATGTGACAATATTAGAGATTTTTTTTGTCTGCTAACAATGACATTATTACACTGAAAAACACTCATGCGTATTATGCACAAGTTCAGGGTCAACTCCTGATCACAGGTTGTACATTTTGTGATTTTGTTGTTTTCACACAAAAGGATGTTTTTGTAGAAAGAATAGCCTGACCTGCCATTCATGGCCACTATGCTTCAAAAATTATGTGTTTTCTTCAAAACCTATGCAAAACCATTTCTTGCAAATCAAAATGTACAATACTGAATAAAATAGAGAAACATTTTGCTTACAAGGTTCTTCTGTTTGTACAGCAATATTGCTACTGTTGTTCGCATTCTCCATTGAAATTGAATCCACACTGCCTTCTCCATCCATGTTACTGTAATAAACAAAGCATTTTTTTAACCATACTAGTTCATTAAAAAAATGAACTTTCAATGATCTGTGTGCATACAGTTTACATGTGGGATTCTACCTTAGAATTCTCTTTTTTGATGACACGTACTGTGTGATTTTCAGAATAAGTCCGTTTGAGAGGTGGTCTTGTTGGCCGAAGAACTGAGCCATCAGCTAGTATTGGATCTGGAAACTGCACAGTTGGTCCATTACCTCCAACGAAATGCTGTAAATGATTTTAAGAAAATAATTAAACTTAATAGTATGTCCGAAATTTTCTGCTACCGTACTGGTATATTAAATGCATGACAATTTTTAAAAAGATTTTTCGTAGTCAAAGAAAAACAAAACGCACGATCAGTCCTAGTCTGAATCATATTCTGTACACAGTCATCTTTATAAATAAAATCATTCCCTTTTTTCTCTCTTTCAACATATAATAAGCCTAAAGCTATCCTCACTTTAATGCCACCCGAATTTGCACGAAAATGTGGCATAATCTTGTACATCATGAATAGCGATTTACCTCGTTCTTGCATGTTTTTTAAATAAAATTTAATACTTATTACCCTTTGAACATGAAAATATCAACAGTCATACCTTTGAACAAACTGCTTTATGTTTATTTATCCGCTGGACGTTCAGCTGGTCGTGTGGGCGCCCGCATGCCTTGATCCAACGAAGGCATTTCTCAAGATTAGTCTTAGGTTTGGGGAACAAAATAAGCTTTACCCCATTTTCTAACCTCTCTGGGTACCTCTCATCAACATTACAGGTCCCCCAAGCGCATCGCAAAACCATTTCGCCCAAAAGTTTGGTCTGCCTTACAGACTTCCCACAAGTTTATTTGTGGGACAACATGGCCGCCGATCGAAGTGTCTCTGTGCCTAATTATGCGTAACGATCTGATTGGCTGATAAAAAGCATTTGATTGACAGGCCGGAACTATGAATTATCACGTTAATTCGGAAAATTTAGTCGTTTAAATTTGAAAGTTGTGTTAATGACCTCAAAATGGCGATTCAAAATGGCAAACGCTAGAATTATATAAAATACTCAAACTGCTTAATTCTGAGTCATTTTGCAGAAAATAAAAGGAAATTAATTACAGTTTGCATTTTTAAATTAATAAAATAATGTTTAAATATTCAATAAAACTTTGAGAATATTGTTGTTAATGACTTATAATTTTTAAGACACTGATCTTTGTTTTATTACTTCTACTATTAAGATAAGCTTTTGACTACATCTACGAAGAACTTTTATCTATTACATATCTAAACATGCTTCTTAGTATAAAAAGTTAATAATATCACACAATAATTGCTGTTTGGAGGACAATATGACAATTAAGCTACCCCAAGAGCAGTACTTCCCGAGCCCAAAGGCGAGTGAACATTGTAGTTCGAGGGTTGCTAAATTATCTCCGAGTCAGTTGTTGAAAATTTTTGATCTACTTTTAGTCCATGCAGTGTAGAAAAAAATAAATGTTTATGTTCATGTGGAAGGTCTAGTGAAACATAACTTAGTACATGATTTTTAAAATAATAGACCAAAACCAGAGAGCTAGGAATTATTAAATCATATGAATTTGAATGTGATACATGTATACTATATATCAACATATTTATTAAGAATTATCAAAACCAGTATAATATACGTAAACCATAAATATTCTTGATTGTCTAGCTCTGATTCCGCGTCCCTGCATTTGCATTTTGTTATTCATAGCCAATAAAAATCAACTTCATTCACAAATATTTAATGTTGTGAACGGATAATCTTGTATTGTTTTATTTAAATTAAAGCGACTGCAAAATTCCTTTTTTAAAGGAATATTGTATATGTTCAAAATCAAAATTGATAAACCAAACATATTTTTGTCATACTCGGATGGAATTCAGTGCCTATTGTTTTAAATTTAACAAAATAGGAAAGAGGAAATTGTTTGCGTTTAATCTCCCCTCGATTCTTGATACAACCATACACTATCCTAACAAAGTAATGTGGGTCAAGTTGCCTTGTAAACTTCTTGGAGTGTTCAAGAAAATTTTGTTGTCAAGAGAAGTGTTGACCAGATCAAAGTCAAGAATGGCTTCGGCCTATTGGTACGAAAGCTTGTACGTGATAGAAATCACAAGGAATCTTCAGGTGCTTTTAGATCGCACAATTATACAACTTTTCTCACCAAAAATGCACATGCACAGTGTGATTCCAGATGATAAAGTTTGAGAATTTTCTTGCTAATGGAAAGACCTCTCTACCCAAAAAGACAACATATCGATATGGTCACAAGAGAGAAAGCTACATGTCTTATCAGAGATTTTTTTTCCATTTTGCATAAGGTTTTGGAAAACAAAACAGTCTTTTAACATTTGAACATAAATGTGTTGTTCCTTGAGCTGTTGAGAAGACCAAAATTCCGAAGACTGACTGAATATATAGCATTTAAAGCTGGGATAGAGGATGTTGGGGGAAAAACTAAGCTCTTACAATTGCTAATTTCAAAAGCTAGTGCAAAGGGTTCAATGAAGTCGGGCAAGAATTTCTTCAGTTATATTTGATGGTGTGCTAAAGGATGCTGAAGTGGAAGTGCGAGTTGATAATGACAGCGATTCAGCAGTGAATTCAGGTGGACAGGGGTTCAGAGCTTTAGAACACGGTCAAATATGAGGAAAACAAGTCGAGTTTGTTTTAACTATTTCCAGAAAAAAAGGAAACTTTTCTAGTATTATTTTTTTGTTTGATCATTAAATGAACTAATCAATATAATCAGAACAAAGGGACACCAAGAGAAATCCCTCTTCCTATTAACTTTGCTATACCTTGGGAAAAAAAGCATATTACCCTGTGTCCTCCCACCAACCATTATGAAAAACATTGTTACTGCTCGCTATGTATGTGGGAGGGAGGGAGGGGGGAAGGGGTGAGTGGATGGTTGAAGATTGAGTGAAATGCGAGAATGATATTGGTTAAAGCATTCTGCACTAAGTGAAGAAGCAGTCTGTAGGTCTTCAAGCAGTGCTCCAGTACTGTTCTTGAGTGCCCTCTTGCACCTTTAGCTGTTCTCATACTAGCATATCATATATGGACGTGTCATTGCTCATTCTTTCAAGAAATAGACACCTGTAGAATGCGAGTGGAACCTTTCGAAAGCCTGCAATTATTCCTTTTAAATTGTTTCGGCGATAAATCTGTCTTTTCCAGAGCTTCAGAAAAATATATTTAATACAATTCACTCATTGTAGTACATATCAATAGAAGGTTGGGGAGAAGGAAAATTAACTGATCAAAAAAACCCAAAAAAATCGTCTTTAAGTTGCGTAGCAAGTACAGTGTCCACTAACGTGCATTCGAAAATAATTTAGGAATTACGCTTCCCATTCTTTTTATATGCATGTAAAGCGAGCACAATGCCAGGCAGTACGTGATATAAAGATAGGCAGATATAGTGGTAACCTCACATTACTAAGTCCAATGAGATGGAATGGATGTTCTTGGCTGTTTGCTGCAAACTTATGAATGGGCCATTGCAGAGATTTTTCCGAAATTCAAATCATAACTTACAGCTGTACCATCATTCAGTTGTAGAATAGTGAAATACAGAGGAAAAAAGACCAATCTGCAGTGTATGGATATTTGCAAATGTAAAATCCTGAACAAAGCAAAATGTAGAAACAATAGAAAAATAAATAAGAGAAAATTCGAATTAAGTGTAGAAACGACTAAATTTTCTGAATTAAAGTAATAATATTAGCATTCTTTTATCATTTTATAGTTGCATTACACTCAGTGAGATATTCACACATTCTTTATTCTATTTGAACGACATTAAGAGAAAATTAGAAAAATTGGATGTCCGCCATTTTGAATCGCCATTTTGACCTTTCTAACGCAATTTTCATGAAGGCCAGCATATTTTTTCGGATTCAGCATATACTCGAAATAGGTTAAAAAACTATGCTGGACCAAATAATAATCATTTGCCGTTAGGAGTATTTTTGTTCTAAAAATCGGACCAGACTATTACCACAAATCATAATCGGGTAAAGGGAATTCAAGTTTGTTCAAGTGTAGGACCATGCCTTCTTTTAAGGGGAGATGACTAAAGGGTCGTGAAAATTTAATGGCAACTTTGAAAATTTCTTCTCAAGAACCATCGGGCTAAAAAAGATACAACAAACTTGAAATGCTTCATTATATAGTGTATATTCAAACTTGTTCATATCGTGACCGCCGGGGATAGGGTGGGGTCATAAGCGATCAAAGTCTTACATAGAAATTTATAGGATTTTTGTTAAAAAAAAAATCATCTTCTAAAGAACAGCAAAGCCATGGTCAGTCATATATATATGATATATACGCGAGAATACCATTGGCATTGAAAGCAAGTTTTAATAACTTGCCTAGATGGCCGAGCGGTCCAGCGCGCTGTTCCTGTACTGCTAGGAGACAGATTCAGTGGGTCGAGAGTTCAACCCCGGTTTGGGGCGGAATATATATATATATATATATATATATATATATATATATATATATATATATATATATATATATATATATATGCATCCTCAGGTAGTGTAGATACATGTACAAGTTTGTTCAAAGCATGTCCCAAAGGGACCAATGGGCAATCAAAGTTTAACACACAGGACTGTATAGGCTTTTAAGGTCAGACGATATGTTCCTCAAATATCCGTTATGTATATCTTCGTAATATATGAAAAATATGCAAAAATTCAATTACCCTCTGATTTCTAAACCAGTTTCTAATCGTCTTTAAAAAATCCAAACACTAAAAAATTTGATATTGCCAAATTATTTTCTTTTCCAAAGGATTATATAAGAAAAACTATCCTCTGGTATCTTGCACAAATGCCTGGTAAGGTACCTCAATTTTTTGTGAGTAAACATGTTAAAGTAGCAATACTTCAATGACAAAATCTTGGAAAAAATTATATATTATTGAGGAACGTATCGTCTGTCCTTAAATGATTAAATTAAAGATTAATTTTAAAGGCTTCTTCTCAAGAACAGCAAAGCCATGGTTATTTTTATATTTATGAAAGCATCTTCAGTTAGTGTAAATTCAAGTTTGTTTAAATCAAGAATCTTGGTGTAGGGTGCGGCAAAAATCGGCGACCAAATTTTTAAATGCGAATATCAAGGAAAATCTTTTTTTTTTTCATAAACAGCAAAGCCCTGAATATTCGAATTTATATGAAAGCATCCTCAGTTTGTGGAAATTCAACTGTGAACAAAATTTTATAAAACTTAATCAATATAAAGTGTGAAATGAAGTAAATATACTACTGAAACAGTTTGTCAGTACAACTCCTCTTTATCCGCTGAACAGAATTTCATAAAGCTATGTTATAAATAAGGACATACATGTGGTGTGAAAATGAGCAAATTTACAGAAAATTCTTATTCGATTTTTTTACAATACGTCGGAAAATATTTAACTAACTTCAATTATACAGATGAGTAAACAAATTTCTATGAAGAATACTACATGTAGTCGTCGAGCATGATTTGGCACAATTATTGCTAAAGACATCATCTGCATTGGAGCAGAACAATTAGCAATCATATATTATACAAAAACGATTTATCGTGTCAGGTTCTTTGAAATAAAATCCACAGTCTTCCATGTCCGAATCTGCTTTAAAAAAAGAAGATCCAATCCTTCCTTATTTATACTTGCACATACATATACACTATATCAAAATTATCTATCAGTGCCCGTTGGCTAAAGATATAACTGCCAGAATTGTTTTTCCTCAGTATCAGTAGGCCATTCTATAACATAAAAAGAGGGATAACTCTGGCTTTATTTCCAAGATTGAAAGGGGTTTACTGTCCTTCCGAGTGTCTGTTGATTGTCTGTATATAAACTTTATTATTATGCATCTTA